TAGCCTTCTTAAGGCTTTTGGTGTTGATGACTATAATGATGAAGAGCCAGTTGAAATTCTTGGCTTCCGCTCTTTTGACTTGAACATTAGTGAAGTTACCTCCCTTGCTGATACTTTTAATAATGATGTTGGTGATGGTGGTCGCTATCTTGGCGAACAGGCTGGAAAGTCTGTTACTATGGGAAGTGATGAATATAGCAAACCCATCGTTTGTTCTACCGATGAACGTGGATTCTTTATTGTTATGGGTGGTGTGATGCCTGTAAGTGGTTACGTGAATATGGCAGATCATCGTAATTATATGGTAACTCGCCCGCAGCAGTATGATAAGGAGTTGGAGGGTCTTGGGTATGACGCAAGTCGTATTGAACGTTTGTTTGGCGATTTGCGTGTTTCCTTTAAGGATTCTACTATAAAGAAACATAATTTTGGTTTTGTTCCTCATTGGAGTTCAATTAAGGTTAAGTCAAATATTAATAATGGCGATTTTAATCGCCCTTCTAAAATTAATGCTTTGCTTCCCTACACTAGTGACAGAGTTATTAGAGTTCTTCAGCCTAATGGCACTACTTATGTTGCGCCTACAGCGCAATTTGGTAAGTCTTTTATTAGCACGATGTCGCACGATAATACTTTGCCTACAAAATTGCCTATTGCTGGTAAAGAATGGACTTACGCTTATAAGTATGGCTTTATGGGTCAGCTGAACCGTATGTTTGTTAATTATGATAAGCAGTTGGACGGTTTGCCCGGTGGTCTTTATTATCCCGATGGTAGGGCTGTTAGTGAATGGTCTTACGAACAGGAAGACAACTTTGTTGTGCATAATCGTATTATTATGTCATTGGAAAGTGAAATGTTACCGATAGCTGATACTTATATGACGCAGGATGATTCTGCTAAGGCAAATGAGACCGTATCTTTGTCTTAATCATTCTTAACACTAGGGGCGCACCCCGCGCCCCTTTTTTTATAAGGAAATTTAATTATGGATGTATTCGCAGGATTGGCAGCAGGCGCAGCAAGTGCTGGCGTTCAGCAGGCTTTTAACGAATCAAATGCAAAGCGTGAACAACGGCAGTACCAACAGAATCAGCAACAGTCTTTTGCTCTTTCGCAATTAGCGCAACAGCAGGCAGTACCAAACGCGGTTAAAGGTCTTCAGCAGGCAGGTCTTAATCCTGCTAGTGCTGCGCAAGGTGCGTTTAATGGCGCGCCTATGACCGCGCCACCAATGCAAAATAAGGCCGCTGGTATGGCTAATTTTCCCATTGCTGAAGGAATTCTGGCATTGGCTCAAGCACGCAAAACGAATGAACTCTTGGATGCACAAAAAGATAATATTAATGCAGATACTGCAAATAAATTGCAAGGTGTTGAAACCGGTAAATCTCAAGTTGGTCTTAACGAATCTCAGGTTGGAGTAAATGAAGCGCAGGGCGAGAAGTTGCGAGCAGAAACTCAGTTAAGTCAATATCAATATCGGAATCAACGCAATATAGATTCGTCTATATTTGAAAATTTGATGAATGATCGTAGGGATGATATGGAACGCTACTTTAAGTCTCTCGGTCTTGATATTAATAATCCTGATGACGTTGAAAAGGCTAAAAGTCAATTTTCTTCTGGAACTTTAATGGGCGAGAATACTTATTTTAAGTTGTCTGCGGATAAAATTGAGGACATGAATCGGGCGGAAATTGCAAGAGAATTTGAAACAAAAGGTATGGCGGAAATCGTAGGTACAATGCCCTATTATGAACGCCAGAAGCTAATATCGGACACGGCACACGTCAAAGTAATGGCGGAAAAGGAAATTGCCTTGCGCGAAAAGTTGCAGGCAGATGCTTCACTTTCTCAGCAACAGCGTCACAATTTGCAGAAGGAAATTCAAAAGATTGATGCAGATATTGGCGAAATCAAGGCGAGGACTGAGCGTGTAAGTTCGGAAAAATTTCGCAATTACGCCATTGGTGCTTCTGCGATTACGGATTCTGCTTGGAACATTGTTGAAACTTTTTTGCCTAAAGGCTTCCTTAAAAAGGCAGCAAAAAATGCTACTGGCTCTGCGCCTATGCGCGAAAAGACCACCACTACTTACAAGGAGACTAAAACAGGTTGGAAACACGAAGTAAATAAAGAGCGTTTTCCAATGAGTGATTAAATGTAAATTTTATTTTACAATAAAAGGCTTGACAAATGTCAAGTCTTTTTGTATATTATACACATAACAAATAAGGAGTTATAAAATGAAAGTTCGTGTTTACAAATTTACTTGTTGGTGTGATGCGGTTCGTCAAGGCGAAACTCATCGTTTTGTCGTGACTTTAGAGGCTAAAAATTTGCGTTTAGCTTTGGTTTCTTTTGGTGGGTATATGCATCGTAATTTTTCTGGTTGGGTTATTTTAGACTGCGATGGCGTTCGTGACGCTGGCGCACCTTCTAGAGTGGTTGAGGTATAAAATGAAACATCATCCCAATGTATTTTATATCATAATGCGTAGCCTTACCCTTTATTATTCGCATATTACAGATAATCTAATAACTGAATTGCACGACTCTTGCCCCGATGAAGAGATGGTGCGAATTTGGCGAGGCGAACAGCGTGCTATTAAGCGTCTTTTGAGGATTTACAATAAACTTTAGTGAGCGTTCGGAAGGTTAGTGATATGCCTATTTATCAAATTTTTATGCAAGAAAAGCGATCAAATGCCCCTATAATTAGACTCCGCAGTCTTTATACGGATTTTGATGAATGCGATATTCAATGCAGAAATTATTGTAAGTATTTTAAACATTTCGACTTTTGGTTTCAACGCGTAGATTAGTCTGAAGGTGCCTTAACGGCACCTTTTTCTGTATGCGGTCGCAAACCCTCGCAACTACCCGACAGGATTTGTCGTGCGCCTTGGCGTGATTCATCACGCCAGCACGTTGGATATACCGAAGAATACTACTAGAGCGACAATTTGGTTGATAGTTCCGTCTGCTGAATTTGAGAAAAGCGAGACGCAACCTGCATTATATTCTTTCGGTCGGCATGATAGTTAGTCTACCTAGATAGCTGTCTCCCCTAAACCGATATATATGATTATTCGCTAACAAAACTTTACATGCTTAGTATATTAAATAAATTAAATTAAAATAAATAAATCTTTACATAGCATGTAATTTAGTTAGCGAATTAATAGTGTACATATGTCTCTTTAGCTTTTTCCGTGAAAAAGCCTATACCACTTGACTTATATATGGCACTATGTCGCCCGACTAGAATCTAACAAGATTTTTATGGTAGCTGTATAGTATACGCTAACCTAAATGCAAAAAAAATAAAAAAAATAAAATAGCTATTGACAAAGAAAACGAAAATGTGTATATTGGTGTTATGTGCTTACAATGGATGAAAATTAGGTCTGTAAATTACCACTCTAGCAAAGAAATGTTCGTGCCTTGTGGTAAGTGTGAAGAATGTCGGAATATGGAACGTTCTTCGTGGGAATTCCGTTTACGCGCTGAAGTGGATGAGTATGTTTATCGTCTTGGTTGGCAGATGGGATTTATAACTTTAACGTATAATGAACAAAATTTGCCTTATCTCCCTGCTGAATGTTTTAAGGGATATGACCCTCTTTATTGTTCTTCGCCAAATTATAGACCTATTCCCTGCTTTAATAAGGAGCATATAAGAAGTTTGATCCATGGTCTTCGCAAGTGGATAAATAAGGCCTACGGGTGTAAGCGTCTTATTTATATGGTTGCTACGGAATTTGGGGAAAGTACGAAACGTCCGCATTATCATGCCTGTTTTGTGTTTCCTAAGGAAGTTCCTGCAAGAGATTTTTATAACGCAATTCGTGATTTGTGGACTGCGGAAGAAAACGTTATAAAACAGCCTAGACGTTTAAAGGGTAAGTCGTGTGTTTTGGCAACTGAAAAAATGCGTCGTAATCTCGGCTTTGTTTGTCCTAGAGTCTTTGAAGGGTATGGTCGCGAAAAACCTTTCTTGGTGTGTACAGGAGACGCATTCAAGGCGGCAAAATACGCTGCAAAGTATGTATGTAAGGATTTGTATTATATGGAGCAATTACCCGCGGACATACTTAATTTTGGTAAGTCAAAGATAGCGGATAAAGTTGATTTTGAATATAACGATGAAATAGGAGTAGAAGAATATGAAGCAATTCAGTATGCAGATTTACCTACAATTCGTAATTATCTGCCTTTCCATTTTCAGACTCGTTCTCTCGGTTCTGGAATCTTGCAGAATGCGGATAACGCTAGGTTGTTGGAAATTTATAAACACGGTATACATTTCGTTGGAAGCGAAACCGCAAAACCTCAGGCTGCACCTGCTTATATTAAAAATAAGATTGTGTTTACTCCTTATTATGTTGTTGACTCCGATGGAAGACGTCTTGTTCGTAGACAAGCCTCGCAGTTTTTCAATGAAAATTATAAAGAAATCTTTGATAAAAAGGTAAATTTTTATGAAGAAGCTATTGACAAACTTTCTAACAGAAATTATTATATCGGCTGTAATTGCTCTATTGAACAAGCGGACGAATGGTCAAAAGAAGTGAGTAATATTGTTGAGTATCTTGGCGGTTCTCGTTCTTTGGCTGAACAATATTTGTGTTATTATGGTGTTGGTAGAGATAAGTGTTATGTTGAAGAGGACCGAGCTTTAGTCTATCTTAATCATTATTTTCCTATTGACGGTCTTGACAACTCTGATGTTAAAATACTAGATTATGACTATTATGTAGAATTACAGGACGGCTTGAGCATTATCTTTGGTCTACTCAAGTTTACCGCCAAAATGACAAAGACCGAAGAAGAACGATTATTGGATATGGTTGCGGACTATCATAAACATCTTGATGAAAGTGTTTTTGCAGAAAGTGGCTATATAAAGGAAAGTACTGATTATGTCTTTTAGAGCATATCAAAAAATGAGGGTTGAACCTATCCTTACATTTAGTGTTTCTATTGATAAGCAAATGCCAAATGGTATTGTCTTGGAAGAGACAATATCTATGGACGAAGCACACGATCTATTGCCTGACCCTGCGCTTTATGATATGGATAAAGCGGCAGGTTCTGGTGTTAATCTTGAACAGGTAAGTACAAAAATTATTAAGTAGGAGTAATTCTAATGAAAAACAATATTGTAGACAATGTTTCTGTTAATAATGCACAGCGTAATCGCTCGCATTTTAATCTAGACCACGATGTCAATACTACCGCTTCTCTTGGTACTATTCAGCCACTTGGATTTATGGATATGTTTCCCCACGACAAATTAAGTTTTAAGCCTTCTACGCTTGTAAGAGCTGGTGCTATGGTTGTTCCTGCGTGGGCAAAATTTAAATGGCAGTTAAGTTCCGCTTTCGTCCCTATTAAGTCTGTTTTCCCTAATTATGATTATTTTCTTACTGGCACCTACAAGCGCAGTTCTCAAGGAAAATTGAGTATTGGCACTCTTCCTTGGATTACTACAGCGCAGCTAACCGCTCTCTGTTGTGCTGGTGCAAAAATGTCAATTTGGTTTAATGGTTATCCTACTGATCATGATAAGTATTGGGTTAAGGCCACTCGCGATTCCAATGAATCTATTAAAAACATTATTTCTGCGGTTCATCAGCCTGCTAATCTAGGTGTTGTGACTGACGGTGGAAATTATGGTTTGTTGCCTAATTATAGAGGTATGGTTTTTAATGCTACTTTTCTTTGGCAAAATAACCTTGGTTGGGAAAATCGTTCTGGTTCCCGTCCCCTTTGGCTCCCGTTGGGGAATCCTGTAACGGGTTCTTTTGACAGTGAAACTCGTTTTGATGATGTTTTTTATAATAATGAGGATATTACACCCGATAACGCCGATTTTGTTATTGAAACTACCCCTTTGACGGGCGGTGTCTACGCTCGTAATTTTGCTCTTTGTTTTAAACTTTCCGATAAAGGTAAGTTATTTGCAAAAATGTTGCGTGGTCTTGGTTATTCTTTGGATTTTCGTGCTGATACAGCCGATGACCGTGTTTCGCTTCTTCCCCTTCTTGCTTGGTATCGTGCGTATTTCAAGTTCAATGGCATTGAGCGTTTGCGAAATTGGGAATCCACTTATTGTCATCAGCTCATTCATCTTTTGGAAGAGTTTGGAGATAGCCGTTGTAGTTTTGATGTTTCTTCTACGCATTGGTACGCCCCTATTTCTGGCACTTCCTCCACTTTTGCTATGTTTGTGATGGATGAACTTTACGACTCTTTCTATCCTACGGAAAATTACAATTTCATTTCCGCCCACCGTGCGGATATTGCTAATAAGGGTTCTACTAGTTCTTATGATGTTGGTGTCTATAATAATGAACGTTTTTATGATTATGTAGATATGGTTAATAACGCTATTAATTCTATTAGTAGTGAAATTAAAGATACTGGCGTTAATTCTTCTGCTGACGGTATTAATACATCTGTTGATAATGGTTTGAGCTTGGTAAATACTGTTTTTACCGAAGCTACTGCCGCTGGTATTAAGGCTGTTTGCAATGGCAATAATGGTATTACCGCTACTGAAATTGAAGCCCTTAAGCGTCTTCAGCGTATGACTTCTAAACATGATGTTCTTGGACAAAATGTTCGTAGCCTTCTTAAGGCTTTTGGTGTTGATGACTATAATGATGAAGAGCCAGTTGAAATTCTTGGCTTCCGCTCTTTTGACTTGAACATTAGTGAAGTTACCTCCCTTGCTGATACTTTTAATAATGATGTTGGTGATGGTGGTCGCTATCTTGGCGAACAGGCTGGAAAGTCTGTTACTATGGGAAGTGATGAATATAGCAAACCCATCGTTTGTTCTACCGATGAACGTGGATTCTTTATTGTTATGGGTGGTGTGATGCCTGTAAGTGGTTACGTGAATATGGCAGATCATCGTAATTATATGGTAACTCGCCCGCAGCAGTATGATAAGGAGTTGGAGGGTCTTGGGTATGACGCAAGTCGTATTGAACGTTTGTTTGGCGATTTGCGTGTTTCCTTTAAGGATTCTACTATAAAGAAACATAATTTTGGTTTTGTTCCTCATTGGAGTTCAATTAAGGTTAAGTCAAATATTAATAATGGCGATTTTAATCGCCCTTCTAAAATTAATGCTTTGCTTCCCTACACTAGTGACAGAGTTATTAGAGTTCTTCAGCCTAATGGCACTACTTATGTTGCGCCTACAGCGCAATTTGGTAAGTCTTTTATTAGCACGATGTCGCACGATAATACTTTGCCTACAAAATTGCCTATTGCTGGTAAAGAATGGACTTACGCTTATAAGTATGGCTTTATGGGTCAGCTGAACCGTATGTTTGTTAATTATGATAAGCAGTTGGACGGTTTGCCCGGTGGTCTTTATTATCCCGATGGTAGGGCTGTTAGTGAATGGTCTTACGAACAGGAAGACAACTTTGTTGTGCATAATCGTATTATTATGTCATTGGAAAGTGAAATGTTACCGATAGCTGATACTTATATGACGCAGGATGATTCTGCTAAGGCAAATGAGACCGTATCTTTGTCTTAATCATTCTTAACACTAGGGGCGCACCCCGCGCCCCTTTTTTTATAAGGAAATTTAATTATGGATGTATTCGCAGGATTGGCAGCAGGCGCAGCAAGTGCTGGCGTTCAGCAGGCTTTTAACGAATCAAATGCAAAGCGTGAACAACGGCAGTACCAACAGAATCAGCAACAGTCTTTTGCTCTTTCGCAATTAGCGCAACAGCAGGCAGTACCAAACGCGGTTAAAGGTCTTCAGCAGGCAGGTCTTAATCCTGCTAGTGCTGCGCAAGGTGCGTTTAATGGCGCGCCTATGACCGCGCCACCAATGCAAAATAAGGCCGCTGGTATGGCTAATTTTCCCATTGCTGAAGGAATTCTGGCATTGGCTCAAGCACGCAAAACGAATGAACTCTTGGATGCACAAAAAGATAATATTAATGCAGATACTGCAAATAAATTGCAAGGTGTTGAAACCGGTAAATCTCAAGTTGGTCTTAACGAATCTCAGGTTGGAGTAAATGAAGCGCAGGGCGAGAAGTTGCGAGCAGAAACTCAGTTAAGTCAATATCAATATCGGAATCAACGCAATATAGATTCGTCTATATTTGAAAATTTGATGAATGATCGTAGGGATGATATGGAACGCTACTTTAAGTCTCTCGGTCTTGATATTAATAATCCTGATGACGTTGAAAAGGCTAAAAGTCAATTTTCTTCTGGAACTTTAATGGGCGAGAATACTTATTTTAAGTTGTCTGCGGATAAAATTGAGGACATGAATCGGGCGGAAATTGCAAGAGAATTTGAAACAAAAGGTATGGCGGAAATCGTAGGTACAATGCCCTATTATGAACGCCAGAAGCTAATATCGGACACGGCACACGTCAAAGTAATGGCGGAAAAGGAAATTGCCTTGCGCGAAAAGTTGCAGGCAGATGCTTCACTTTCTCAGCAACAGCGTCACAATTTGCAGAAGGAAATTCAAAAGATTGATGCAGATATTGGCGAAATCAAGGCGAGGACTGAGCGTGTAAGTTCGGAAAAATTTCGCAATTACGCCATTGGTGCTTCTGCGATTACGGATTCTGCTTGGAACATTGTTGAAACTTTTTTGCCTAAAGGCTTCCTTAAAAAGGCAGCAAAAAATGCTACTGGCTCTGCGCCTATGCGCGAAAAGACCACCACTACTTACAAGGAGACTAAAACAGGTTGGAAACACGAAGTAAATAAAGAGCGTTTTCCAATGAGTGATTAAATGTAAATTTTATTTTACAATAAAAGGCTTGACAAATGTCAAGTCTTTTTGTATATTATACACATAACAAATAAGGAGTTATAAAATGAAAGTTCGTGTTTACAAATTTACTTGTTGGTGTGATGCGGTTCGTCAAGGCGAAACTCATCGTTTTGTCGTGACTTTAGAGGCTAAAAATTTGCGTTTAGCTTTGGTTTCTTTTGGTGGGTATATGCATCGTAATTTTTCTGGTTGGGTTATTTTAGACTGCGATGGCGTTCGTGACGCTGGCGCACCTTCTAGAGTGGTTGAGGTATAAAATGAAACATCATCCCAATGTATTTTATATCATAATGCGTAGCCTTACCCTTTATTATTCGCATATTACAGATAATCTAATAACTGAATTGCACGACTCTTGCCCCGATGAAGAGATGGTGCGAATTTGGCGAGGCGAACAGCGTGCTATTAAGCGTCTTTTGAGGATTTACAATAAACTTTAGTGAGCGTTCGGAAGGTTAGTGATATGCCTATTTATCAAATTTTTATGCAAGAAAAGCGATCAAATGCCCCTATAATTAGACTCCGCAGTCTTTATACGGATTTTGATGAATGCGATATTCAATGCAGAAATTATTGTAAGTATTTTAAACATTTCGACTTTTGGTTTCAACGCGTAGATTAGTCTGAAGGTGCCTTAACGGCACCTTTTTCTGTATGCGGTCGCAAACCCTCGCAACTACCCGACAGGATTTGTCGTGCGCCTTGGCGTGATTCATCACGCCAGCACGTTGGATATACCGAAGAATACTACTAGAGCGACAATTTGGTTGATAGTTCCGTCTGCTGAATTTGAGAAAAGCGAGACGCAACCTGCATTATATTCTTTCGGTCGGCATGATAGTTAGTCTACCTAGATAGCTGTCTCCCCTAAACCGATATATATGATTATTCGCTAACAAAACTTTACATGCTTAGTATATTAAATAAATTAAATTAAAATAAATAAATCTTTACATAGCATGTAATTTAGTTAGCGAATTAATAGTGTACATATGTCTCTTTAGCTTTTTCCGTGAAAAAGCCTATACCACTTGACTTATATATGGCACTATGTCGCCCGACTAGAATCTAACAAGATTTTTATGGTAGCTGTATAGTATACGCTAACCTAAATGCAAAAAAAATAAAAAAAATAAAATAGCTATTGACAAAGAAAACGAAAATGTGTATATTGGTGTTATGTGCTTACAATGGATGAAAATTAGGTCTGTAAATTACCACTCTAGCAAAGAAATGTTCGTGCCTTGTGGTAAGTGTGAAGAATGTCGGAATATGGAACGTTCTTCGTGGGAATTCCGTTTACGCGCTGAAGTGGATGAGTATGTTTATCGTCTTGGTTGGCAGATGGGATTTATAACTTTAACGTATAATGAACAAAATTTGCCTTATCTCCCTGCTGAATGTTTTAAGGGATATGACCCTCTTTATTGTTCTTCGCCAAATTATAGACCTATTCCCTGCTTTAATAAGGAGCATATAAGAAGTTTGATCCATGGTCTTCGCAAGTGGATAAATAAGGCCTACGGGTGTAAGCGTCTTATTTATATGGTTGCTACGGAATTTGGGGAAAGTACGAAACGTCCGCATTATCATGCCTGTTTTGTGTTTCCTAAGGAAGTTCCTGCAAGAGATTTTTATAACGCAATTCGTGATTTGTGGACTGCGGAAGAAAACGTTATAAAACAGCCTAGACGTTTAAAGGGTAAGTCGTGTGTTTTGGCAACTGAAAAAATGCGTCGTAATCTCGGCTTTGTTTGTCCTAGAGTCTTTGAAGGGTATGGTCGCGAAAAACCTTTCTTGGTGTGTACAGGAGACGCATTCAAGGCGGCAAAATACGCTGCAAAGTATGTATGTAAGGATTTGTATTATATGGAGCAATTACCCGCGGACATACTTAATTTTGGTAAGTCAAAGATAGCGGATAAAGTTGATTTTGAATATAACGATGAAATAGGAGTAGAAGAATATGAAGCAATTCAGTATGCAGATTTACCTACAATTCGTAATTATCTGCCTTTCCATTTTCAGACTCGTTCTCTCGGTTCTGGAATCTTGCAGAATGCGGATAACGCTAGGTTGTTGGAAATTTATAAACACGGTATACATTTCGTTGGAAGCGAAACCGCAAAACCTCAGGCTGCACCTGCTTATATTAAAAATAAGATTGTGTTTACTCCTTATTATGTTGTTGACTCCGATGGAAGACGTCTTGTTCGTAGACAAGCCTCGCAGTTTTTCAATGAAAATTATAAAGAAATCTTTGATAAAAAGGTAAATTTTTATGAAGAAGCTATTGACAAACTTTCTAACAGAAATTATTATATCGGCTGTAATTGCTCTATTGAACAAGCGGACGAATGGTCAAAAGAAGTGAGTAATATTGTTGAGTATCTTGGCGGTTCTCGTTCTTTGGCTGAACAATATTTGTGTTATTATGGTGTTGGTAGAGATAAGTGTTATGTTGAAGAGGACCGAGCTTTAGTCTATCTTAATCATTATTTTCCTATTGACGGTCTTGACAACTCTGATGTTAAAATACTAGATTATGACTATTATGTAGAATTACAGGACGGCTTGAGCATTATCTTTGGTCTACTCAAGTTTACCGCCAAAATGACAAAGACCGAAGAAGAACGATTATTGGATATGGTTGCGGACTATCATAAACATCTTGATGAAAGTGTTTTTGCAGAAAGTGGCTATATAAAGGAAAGTACTGATTATGTCTTTTAGAGCATATCAAAAAATGAGGGTTGAACCTATCCTTACATTTAGTGTTTCTATTGATAAGCAAATGCCAAATGGTATTGTCTTGGAAGAGACAATATCTATGGACGAAGCACACGATCTATTGCCTGACCCTGCGCTTTATGATATGGATAAAGCGGCAGGTTCTGGTGTTAATCTTGAACAGGTAAGTACAAAAATTATTAAGTAGGAGTAATTCTAATGAAAAACAATATTGTAGACAATGTTTCTGTTAATAATGCACAGCGTAATCGCTCGCATTTTAATCTAGACCACGATGTCAATACTACCGCTTCTCTTGGTACTATTCAGCCACTTGGATTTATGG